CTCTTGAAGAGCGACCGAAGAAGGTGGAACCCCTTGCTGACCGGGAGTCCCGAAGATGCCGTGAGCGATGACTGGTTCATAGGCTCAGACTGGCGTACTAAAGGCGGTTGGTTCTGTGCCTGAGCCAGTAGAGCACTAGCAGGCACTAAATTTCAACAAGTAGGCACTGACATAGAATAGGTGGTGAAATGAGCGCATCAAATACAAATACAAGTTATTAAAGCCATCCCAATATCGGCCCAATTTCTGTATAAGCAAGTTATTATGCTGAAGCAGGGTCAAACTGAAGGTTGAAGGGTACGGTAGCTGCCGCGTAACCACTGCCTCTTGCCGTGGGAAGTCGGAAGATTTTTGCCACCGGAAATGGCTTACCACATGTGAACCAAACTGCTTTAGAGGAGTTTTGTGACGCATAGCGCAAGATAATATCCCCTCAATGATCACTGAGTTCAACAGATCTCATAATTAATCAAAAAAATTAATTATTCAAAAGCAACCAAATTACTACTACTGGGGAACCATCTACTTTCTCCTTCCAACAACTGTGGACTCTTGGACTTCCTATACAACATGTTACACTGCCATTACAGTGCTATCATAGACGATGACACCACCGCGAGCCCTATTCTTATGCAGGAGGTCGGAAAGCTTCAGCAGACTTATTCTGTTTGTGATTAATTTTTTGCTGAATTTATTACAAGGAAAATGATTATTATACACAGAACCACGTGCTGGCATTACTTCAAAGCAAGAAAAATTGAGATATACCAAACGAAGATATAACAGAACAGTAATTCGACCATATTGAACAATACAAAGAAAGGAATTCTTTGTATCTGAGTAACTTTTGGGTGGAGTGAAAAGATGTTAAAAGCAGTAAGTACTGTAGACTTCGTAGAAGGCATGATTGATATGTGAGAGTACGATACAACGCTGAGCTACCTAATGTTTACTACGTGTTACTGGGAAAGTAGACGCTCTTTCAAATTGAGCGGTAGCGTCAGTCACTAGGCCGTAAGACCACGTCAACACTGGCGATATTAACTTTTAGGAGTGATCATCATAAGCGTAGCGAAAATTATTGTGCCTTCGCAGTAGCCCGAGCTTAATGGAGTTTTTTGGCCCACTTCAAGTCGTCCTCTCTCGGTTTCATGCCTGTCAAAGCTGTCACAACAGATTCTGCTTTCCTCCAAAAACCTGAAAAGCAGCTTTACCACTGTCATAAATAGTCATCATAGGAAAGTGATGTTCGGCAGACTAGAGTCCATATTTACAATGAATCATAAGGGTTACACGCCTTGGAACCTCATAGGAAAAGGTCTTCTGCTGTGACCAATCTATTTAAAACTTCCTGGGAGAGTAATCTGACTGCTTTTCTAAGTCGTCAAACAATTAGATCATAAGAGGATGGAGATGGAGCAGGTTTGGAATGACAAGGTCTTCCTTTTTTTTGGTATTAACCTTAGTGATGCGATGTTCGGCATGAAATGTGGAAGCAAACCTTGAACCCTGATTAAACCCACATTACCCAATGCATAAGCCAAACCCCCGTTCGAATGCCTCATGGTTCAATATGCAAGTCGATGGGTGGCGCATCTCATAGGG